GCTCCAGGGTTTCACACTGATTGCAACAACACAGCACGGTGTCTGTTACTCATAGGATTCTGTTGTCGAGCCAAAAAGACATTCTGCCTCTCGTGCAAACGATTAATTTGGGATATGAATTTCAGTGCCGGTGGGATGGGATATAGGCAGAACTACATGTCCCAAAGACTGGCAGATTGTATCAAACAGCATATCCCTTCAGCTGCTTTGCATCAAACAAAGTGCTGACTGTACCCAACCAGCCCACACTTGTACAATCCCCTGCAAAGTTTCCAACACTAGATGTGAATCTGCAACTGGACAGCATTTGCTGAATACTTCTGAGTGTGCAATGAATTGATGACCAATTCAGGCTCACAATATGCGTGTACTGGAAGCTACACATATTGAGATGTACTGTGCAGACAGCAAGAAATTGCACCTCTTTGAACTTTCACACTGCAATGTCCTGACAATCAGAGTCAAACTGACTGGTTTAAAACCTACACAAAACCTGGCCGTTAACTGTCGATCAGCAGGAATGAATGCATTTGCCAAGGTAACGCCTCTACCGATCTGAGTCTTCTTGCCAACTAATCAGCACTATCCTGTCATGTGGTATACACTCTGATTTTCCCATGGAATTGGCATTCTTGCGTATTTTCCTGATGAATGCCACAATGAAGAGCTTTGACAGGACGAGCCTTTCAGTAATACCAAGTTCTGGGCTAACTATTTGAATGTCAACACCTATGTTTGCTGATGATACCTGGTGACTGAAATGTAAGTTGCAGAGACACGCTGATTGGATTCACTGAGGTTGATAGACTTTTGGCAGACAAGAGGATTAAGGATTATAGTGACAATCTGGTGTTCAGCTGGGAATCCAGCCAGGATCATATTGAACGACAAAATGTGCTTAAAGAGTTGAGTGATCTAATCCTGTTCTCATCTTCCCATTACTATGGTTAGATTATGGGGGCTGCTGGGAATTAAAACTTTTGCCTCTGTCTGCCTGGTGTGATCATGAGCATCAGAAACATAAGAAAGACATTTGGTAGATTCACTGCCAGCATTTCCACTTATTTGTATGTATCCAAATTACTGATGCTATGTGGGGAAGCCTCCTAGAGCATTGACACAACTCTCTGTCGCCTGCATAAGCCTTTATCAGTCATTTCCACGATTTCCAGCTGTTTTGAGCTCCTACAGGCAGGCACAGTCCTGCTATCACTTCTTTGCATTTTCATTCACTCATGAGACATGGACATCAACAGGTGGGCTGGTATTTATTGTCCATGCCTAGCTGCCCTTGAAAAGGTGGTGGGGAGCTGCCTTCTTGAACCGCTGCAGTCTATGTGCTGTAGGTAGAACCACAAGCAGATAAGGATGGAATCATCGAGTCGTAGAGATATACAGCACGGAAACAGGTCCTTCGTCCATGCAGACCAAACATTCTACATTAATCTAGTCCCATTTGTCAGCATTTGGCCCATATCCCTCTAAACCCTTCTTATTCATATACCCATCCAGATGCAATTAAATGTTGTAATTGTACCAGTCTCTATCACTTCCTCTGGCACCTCATTCCATACACACACCACCCTCTGCATGAAAGCTCACCTTTTAAATCTTTTCCCTCTCACCTTAAACCTATGCCCCTCCAATTTTGGACTCTCCTACCCTGGGAAAAAGTCCTTGGCTATTCACCCTATCCATATCCCTCATGATTTTATAAACCTCTATAAGGTCACCCCTCAGTATCTGATGCTCCAGGGAAAATAGCTCCAGCATATTCAGCCTCTCCCTACAGCTCAAGCTTCCCAACCCCGGCAACATCCTTGTAAATCTTTTCTGAACCTTTTTACATTTTACAACATCCTTCCTATAGCAGGGAGACCAGAATTGAAAGCAGTATTCCAAAAATGGCCTAACCAATGTCCTGTACAGCCGCAACATGACCTCCCAACTCCTATACTCAATGCACTGACCAATAAAAGCAATTGTACCAAATGTCTTCTTCACTACACCGTCTACCTGTGACTCCGCCTTCAAGGAACTATGAATCTGCACTCCAAGATCTCTCTGATTACTCCAGGATATTTCTCCTTGGGGGAGAGTCTAGGACCACGATGTTTCTCCTTGGGGGAGAGCCTATTACCAGGATGTTTCTCCTTGGGAGAGATCCTAGTACCTGGATGTTTCTCCTTGGGGGAGAGCCTAGTACCAGGATGTTTCTCCTTGGGGGAGAGCCTAATACCAGGATGTTTCTCCTTGGGGGAGAGCCTAGTACCTGGATGTTTCTCCTTGGGGGTGAGCCTAGTACCAGGATGTTTCTCCTTGGGGGAGAGTCTTCACTGTATTCACAGTGAGGGTGGTGTAGAGTGGATACTGTAATCACAGTGAGGGTGGGGTTCGGGGTATACTGTTTTCACAGTGAGGGGGTGAATGGGGGATACTGTATTCACAAGGAAGGAGGGGGAGGGGGATACTGTATTCACAGTGAGGGTGGGGGAGGGGGGTACTGTACACACAGCGAGGGTGGGGGAGAGCGGATACTGTATTCACAGTGAGGTTGGGGTAGAGTGGATACTGTATTCACAGTGAGGGTGGGGGAGGGGGTAAACTGTATTCACAGTGAGGGTCGGGGAGAGTGGATACAGTATTCACAGTGAGGGTGGGGGCGAGTGGATACTGTATTCACAGTGAGTGTGGGGGAGGGCGGATACTGTATTCCCAGTGAGGGTGGGGGAAGGGGTATACTGTATTCACAGTGAGGTTCGGGGAGGGGTGATACTATATTCACATTGAAGGTGGGTGAGAATGGATACTGTAATCACAGAGAGGATGGGGGTGGGGGTATACTGTTTTCACAGTGACCGGGGGGATGGGGGATACTGTATTCACAGTGAAGTTGGGGGAGGGGGTATACTGTATTGTCAGTGAGGGTGGGGGAGGGCGTACTGAATTCACAGTGAGGGTGGGGGAGGGGGAATACTGTACACACAGTGAGGGCAGAGGATGGGGGATACTGTATTCACAGTGAAGGTGGGGGGGATACTGTATTGACAGTGAGGGTGGCAGAGGGCGTACTGTGTTCATAGTGAGGGTGAGGGTGGGGGGGATACTGTTTTCACAGTGAACGGGGGAATGGGGGATACTGTATTCACAGTGAAGGTGTGGGAGGGGGGATACTGTATTCACAGTGAGGGTGGGGGAGCGCGGATACTGTATTCACAGTGAGGATGGGGGAGAGTGGATACTGTATTCACTGTGAGGGTGGGGGAGCGTGGTTTACTGTATTCATTGTGAAGGTGGGTGAGGGGGACACTGTATTCACAGTGAGGGTGGGGCAGGGAGGGTACTGTATTCATGGTTAGAGTGGGGGATGTGGGATAGTGTATTCAAACTGAGGGTGGTGTAGCGCGGATACTGCATTCACAGTGAGGGTGGGGGAGAGCGGATACTGTAATCACATGCACACAAACGCGCGCGCACACACACACACACACACACACACACACACACACACATTCTCACACATTCTCACACTAACAGACCCTTCGGTCCAACTGATCTGCGCCGATCAGGTATCCCAATCTGACCTAGTCCCATTTGCCAGCATCTGGACCATATCCCTCTAAACCCTTCCTATTCATCTACCCATTCAAATACCTTTTAAGTATTGTAATTGTACCAGCCTCTGTCATTTCCTCTGATAGTTCATTCCATACATGCACCACCCTCTGCATGAAAAAATTGCCCCTTAAGTCCCTTTTAAATCTTTCCCCTCTCACCTTAATCCTATGCCCTCTAGTTTTGGACGCCCCTACCTTGGGGAAAAGACCTTGACTGTTCATCCTATCCATGCCCCTCATGATTTTATAAACCTCTATTAAGGTCACCCTTCAGTGTCCAGGGAAAATAGCCCCAGCCTATTAAGTGTCTCCGTATAGTTGAAACCCTCCAACGCTGGCAACATCTTTGTAAATCTTTTCTGAACCCTTTCAAGTTTCACAACATCTTTCCGACAGCAGGGAGACCAGAATTGAATGTAGTGACCAATATAAGGTATTTACAGAGACGAGAGGTAAAAACATAGAACATAGAACAGTAGAGCACAGTACAGGCCCTTCGGCCCACGGTGTTGTGCCGACCTATTATCTTACTAAATATTATTCTACATGAGGGAGAAAGTCGTGGAAAATCATATGGATATGATTAGCTGAGGAAGAGTAGGAGGAAGATCATGAGTTGTGTCTTTATTAACACCGTGGACTAGTTCAGCTGTGCTATAAACATTAAGCACCAGTGAATTAAATCAAGTGGTCAGTGAATTAGTGCTCTGCCTGTCTGACATAGAGAACCTGTCTCGCAAACAACAGCAGCTCCTTCCATTACTCATAGCTTTGAGAATAATATCAGGCTTCCATTGGACATAGCAGATGCTGAAATTTCAGAGGAACGTCAATTAGAGTGAGCACTGGGCTTGGGAAACCATCGTGGCGAGTCTTGCATTTTCTCCTGCATTTCCAATTGAAAGCAAATTAATCTCTGAGGCAGTTACAAAGGTTTAGTTAATGGTGAACGAGGAAGTTTGCAGACGTAGCTATGAGCTAACATTTGTGGAGTATGTAGGATGATATTGTGCAAACAATCCTTACGTTGTGTGCCCTACAATAAAGAGGGCAGAACAGTCTGCGAGACAGCTGAGTGTATTTTTCTCCTGTAGTAGGATGAATGAATTAGCCTGTGGGAGTCAGGTTCTGCTTCTCTGTTGTCTGCATTCAAAAGACTTGTGTAGGGCCATGTGTTTTTTAAAGCTATAGTGATCATTGATCAGCACGGAACTGACTATGAAAGGTGCCAGCATTGTGGCTCCAAAATATGGCAAAGGAATCACTGAACCCAGAAGCAAATCCTATTCAGCCACATATCTGTTAATGATTACAAATAGCAAATCCAAAGTGCATTCTAGAATAATCTGTGCCAGTGACAAATGATATTCCCCAGAGATCAAGAGATTGTCTCTTCGTACACAATATTGCGTGGAGTCCAATCTAAATGCATGTGTGAAATGCTGGCCTTCTAATCATCATTGTCGCTGAGAAGGTAAGAGAAGTTGCGACTATTCCTCAGTGAGTGTTTGTCAGGCAGTTAAAGAAGCTCAACTTTTATTGATGGGAGAAGTCCTGGAGGTGGCTGGTTAGATGCTTTCAAAATTGTAAAATTCAAAAATAACTTTAACATTACTCCGGTAGAAACCAATATTCCTTTCAAAATGGTATTGGGAATATGGTCTTCGATCGTCCCAAATGTTCTGGATACTGCATCAGTCAATTCATGTTTCCAAAACTGAGATGGACAAACAATTGAAGGATTATGTGGGATATAAATAAGGAAAAATAAACAGGAAAGTGCAGCAAATGTTGCTCATTTCAGTTTTTCAGTAGCACCATATAAGACCATAAGATATAGGCGCAGAAGGAGGCCATAAGGCCCATCAATTCTGCTCTCCCATATACTGGGATCATTGCTGATCTGATAATTCCCAATTACCCCATAACCCTTATTCCCCTCACTGATTAAAAATCCCTCTGCTTCAGGGCTGAATGTACTTAATAATCCTGTCTTGACAACCCTCTGTGGTAAAGAATTTCATAGATTCACTACCCAGTGAGGGGAGAAATTCTTCTTCATGTCTTTAAATGTGCAACCGTTTGTTCGAGATTATGCTCCCAGACTCCCCCACAAGGGGCAACACCTGTCCACATCTACCCTGTCAAATCCTCTTAGACTCTTGTATATTTCAATAAAGTTTTCTCTCATTCTTATAAACACCACTGGGTGCATGCCCAATGAACTCCATGTCTCCTTATTAGAAAATGCTTGGAATCAAGTGAACTTTCCCTGGACTGCCTCCAATGACAGTATACCTTCCCCTCATTAAAGAGACCAAACTGCTCACAGAATTCCAGTTATGGTCTGACCAGCGCCTTGTATAGATTTAGTAAGACTTCTCTAAATTTATTTTCCATCCCCTTTGAAATAAAGGTCAACTTCCATTGGTCTTCCCTATTACCTGCCAAACTTGGATACCAGCTTTCTGTGCTTTATGCATTAGGACCCACAAATCTCTCTTTTATAACTCACCTAGATAATATTCACCTCCTCTATTCTACCTGCCAAAATGCATAATCACACAAATATTCCATCTGCCAAGTTTTTGCCTGGTCGCTTTACCATCAGAGACTTGTGATAAAGTTTATGCTAGCCCCAAGCTTTTATCCCATATTCCTACAAATATTTCCTATTCAGTTAATGATCAACTATTCTTTCAAACACCATTATTGAATAACAATTTCAGGCACTGCATCCCAAATTGTAATCATTCATTCTGAAAACTAGCTTTCTGTCATATCATCAATACTGCTTTTTGCCAATCCTTTCAAGGCAATGAATTCTGGTTTGTAATTCTACCACCAATGGGATCAGCTTCTCCTTGCCCACTATGGTGCAGAAAGAGGCCATTCAGTCCATCATGCCTGCATCGATGCTATTACCTAATGTCAATCTGACCCCTTTGCCCCATATCTCTGCAAACCGTTTCTATCTAAATAACCATCCAATGCCCTCCTGAATGCTTCACATGAACCTGCCTCCACCACATTTCCAGGCAGTGTCATCCAGACCCTAACGAGGCACTGTGTCAAAAATTTGTTTTTCTTACATCATCCTTCGTTTGCATATCACTTTAAATCTACGCCCTGGCGTTCTTGTCTCTTTTACAAGCGCAAACATCTTCTCCCTGCCTACTCCCTATCTGAGAAATAGCTTGGTGTATTTTCATGCTTGGAGGTCATACTTAAAGGGTAACAAATACTTTTTGGAGTTACAGGATGGCAGGTCAGAACAGCCAATGGAGTGTACATCTGCGGTAAGTCTGAACATGCCGTGTGTCAAAGGCATCTGCAGGAAGTGTCATTGGGGACAAAAAGCTAGAGTTCCAGGTTTGGAAACTTGACCAGTGGCTGGAATCGCTGTTGTGTATCTGTGGATTATGTGGATAACTTGTGTTTGGGAGATGGACACACTGCAGATTAGAAGTGCATTGGGAGAAAGGGAATAGGAGACTACCAGGCAGTCTAAGACAACAAGGCAGAAATGCCCCCGAGTCAATGTTTCTTAATCGATATTCTATTTAGGAAACTGGTGGAGGCAATGGTTACTCAGGGGAGTGCAGTCAGAACCAAGCCCCTGGCACCATAAGTGTGTTGTAAAGGAGAGGTTGATCCCCACTCTGAGATCTAAAACTGAAACACCTGAAGAGGAGGGCCTCACCATATAAAGGAGTGTGGAAAGTGTTATAACCTGCCTTTCAGCAACTTCTAGTGGTTGACTAAAAGAAATCCCTGACACTATCCTTAAAATCAACAAGTAATAATTTATTTATCTAAAGGTGAATGAATTAACCAAACTATTAACAAACTGAATAAACCCCTCTTAATTACTAGCTATTACCAAATAAAACAAAATTTTAATGGTATGCTGTTCCAATAAATACAAGTCCCACTTATATAAAATAAAAAAGAAATAGAATTCAATCTCTCAAAATTACAGCCAGATTATGTGTCTTCTGGAATGTTCTGTGCCTTCTCCATTGCATGTTCTGTCAGGAATGCTTTCTCTGTGAATCCTTCTGTCAAGAATCTTAGCTAGGAGTGCCATGCTACCATTGTGATTAGAAGGTGCTTCCTCTAAGAGCTGAGAGCTGTTATCTCTAGCAGATGGCAGTTTACTCTCCTGTCTTTGCCCAACTGCCCCTTCTTTTATAAACTTGATGACATATCAATATTTCTTATAATGCAATTGGTCCCATGTTGTCAAAACCATCAGATTTGAACTTAATTGGTCTTTGGTGTCTAGGTGCCTGGTTCAAACTAATTGGCTAATTTCAAAACTTGGTGTCTTTATAACAAAACAAAACTGTGGCTTGTCCTGCTAATTGTAAGGTCTTTTGACACAAATGTTTCAATTCAGATACTCTCTGTGCACCTGAAAACCCACAAGCTATTGCTCACAGACATCCCTTTTTTGAATCTCAAAGCATAGGAAAAGCACATCATCTTTTAAAGGAACCACGTACTGCTTTCCGCTTTAGCATTTTACAAATGCCAATATTTTATAAACACCAAATTCTAATGTCCTGCCTCCCAAGCAACAAATGCTCTCTCCAACTTCACAAGTGTCTCTGCTATACATGGGAAGAGGAAGAAGAATCATAGAATCCCGACAGTGTGGAAGCAGGCCATTCAGCCCATTGAGTCCAAACCTACCCTCTGAAAAGCATCCCACCCCAACCCACCACCACCCCCTCATCCCTGTAACCCCACATTTCCCATGGCTAATCCACCTAGCCTGCATATCCCTGGATACTATGAGCAATTTCCCATGGTCAATCCACTTAACCTGCACATCTTTGGACTGTGGGAGAAAACCGGAGCACCCGGAGAAAACCCCCACAGACGCGGGGAGAATGTGCAAACTCCACACAGACTCCCCAAGGCTGGAATCAAATCGGGGTCCCTGGCGCTGTGAGGCAGCAGTGTTAATCACTGAGCCACCGTGCTGCCTTGGTTGGAGGAGGAATAGAGGTAGGTGAATCCAAATTCAGCCAATCAGACCTTTCTGTGGCTGGAACCTGGACTCTGGGGTAATGTATTTCCTCCCTGGTGCCAGGGTTAAGGGTATCATTGAGCAACAGCAGGTCATCCTCCTACAGGAGGGGGATCAGGCAAAAGTCATGGTCCACATTGGTGCCAATGACATTAGTAGGAAGAGGGATGAGGACTTGAAGGCAGATTTCAGGGAGTTAGGAAAGAAATCAAATATTAGGACGTCCAGAGCGGTAGTTTCAGGATTGCACCCTGTGTCGTGTGCTGATGATCATAAGAATAGGGATTGATGCGGCTGGAGAACTGGTATAGGAGGGAGCCTATCAGTTTCTGAGATATCGGAACTAACTCTGGGATAGGTGGTCTGGACAAGCTGGATGGTTACACCTTACCAGGACTGTAATTGATATCGCCACAAGGAGATTTGCTCATGCTGGTAGGGCGAGTTTAATCTAGTTTGTCAGGGAGATAGGAACCTAGGGTTAACCCAAATAGGAAGGACGTAAAGTTGGTACCAGGAAGGTAAAAAGATGCAAGGGAGACTAGAAGACAAGAAACCAGAAGAAACAAAGCTGAGCATTGAGAATGCTTCCTAAAAGAAAGCATTCTCAACAAGGTTATACAAACTAAAGGCAAAAATAAAGATATGTGGGTATGATCTAATTACCAATACAGAAAGATGGCTGCATGGTGACCAGGACTATGAAATGTGTATTCAGGGACATTTGATATTTAGAAAAGACAGAAAAGGAAAAGAAAGTGGAGATGTGTTGATAATAGGGAATGGGATCAATACACTAGTAAGGCAGGGTCTCAATTTGGAAGAGCAAAGCGTGGAGTCTGTTTGGGTGTTGCTAAGAAACAGCAAGGCACAGAAAATATAGGTTGGAGCCATTTACAGCTCACCAAATAGTTGTGATAGCGTGGGTCGTGGTATTGATCAGAGGATGACGGAAGCTTCTAGCACGGGCAACACAGTTATCGTGGGAGACTTCAACCTGCATATAGGGACTGTATAAACCAATTGAGTACTAAAGCCAAGGAGGATGGATTTCTGGAGTGTCATAGGGATAGTTTTCTGGAGTTGGGGAATTGACGTGTTATTTTAGGTTCAGTATTATGTAAAGCAAAATGTTAGTTGAACAATTTTGTGTTAACAAATTTCTGCCTTCCAAGTCCTTTATATATATGTAGGAAGTAACTGCGGGCCCCAGCACTGCCCCCTGTGGCACTCCACTATGCTACAAGTTGCCACACTGAAGATGCCCCTTTATCCCAATTGTCTGTCTTTTATTAATCAGCCAGGCCATCTATCCATATTAATAAACTACCCCAACACCATGGGTTCATATCACACAAGCTAATGTGTCATTGAACATCCAAATATATTCCATCCACCAAATCCCCTGTATCTATCCTGCTTTTCCCTCCTCAACA